AGCCTCCGTTTCTCCACCTGACTCTAGGGGTAGCAGTTCCTGCCTCCCACACAGGGTTTTGGAGGGCCCTGGCATGATCCCAGGTACCCACTGCCTTGTCAACAGCACAGATCCTTGCCCTGGCTGGCTGCCTCTGGTGCCCGCCCTTCTCCTGCTCAGCAGCCTCCTTTCTGGTCAGGCACTTGATGTCTCCTGTGTGTCTCTTCCTTGGTGTCCCCCTGCCCGGTACATCTCCACCCATCTGGTCACCGGTCAATTGACCTCACCCCCACTCCCTGGTCATCGTATTGGATTTCCCCTTTAGAATACCAAGCTCTGTAGACACCAAGCTCTTCGTTTTCCTCCACCCCAGAATACCTTTACTTTGCCTTAATTCCAGAGGGATATGTTTACTGGATATACGATTCTGTGTTCACAGTTTTTTTCTTTCGGCACTTTTATTTTTATATTTTATTTTTTTTGAGTTGGAGTCTCACTCTGTCACCCAGACTGGAGTGCAGTGACAGCTCCCGGTCACCGCAGCCTTGGCCTGCTGGGCTCCAGCGATCCTTCCGCCTCAGCCTTCCAAGTAGCTGGAAGTACAGGCGTGCGCTACCACGCTTGGCTAATTTTTTGATTTATTGTAGAGATGAGGTCTCACCAAGTTGCCCAGGTGGGTCTTGAACCTGCGGGCTCAGGCAATCCACTCTCTCTCTCTAGCTGCTTCAAGATTCTTATTTAACCTCAGTTTTCAGCAGTTTGAGTAGGATGTACCTGAGTAGGCTTTTCTTTGAGTTTTTAAAATATGCAAATGTATGTCTTTCACCAATTTGGGGATTTTTTGGTCATTATTTCCTCAAGTATTTTTTCTGCGTGATTCCCTTTCCACTTTCCTTATAGAATTCCAGCGAAATAAATGTTAGACCTTTGTATACTCCACACGTCTCCAAGGTTCTGTTCACTTTTTCTCAATCTCTTTTCTTTACTCAGTTTGCATAATTAATCTTTCTTCAAGTTCGCTGACTCCTCTGTCGTTGAAACTCTGCTATGGAGTCCACTCTGATTTTCTAAAAATTTCAAACACAGTCATTTTTACGTCTAAAATTTTCTTTGGTTTTACCTGTAGAGTCTGTTTCTCTGTTGAGAATGTCTGTCTTCTTTCTCATTGCTTCAAGTTGCTTTCAGCATCTCATAAGCATAGCAATAGCAGCTGCTTTAACATCTCCGTCTGACTGCAGAGTCCACTGGTGCCGGCATCTGTGGTCTTTTCTTTGAGAGTGGTTCATGTCTCCTGGCTCTCTCTGTGCTGCATGCTCTTAGATGGCATCCTGAACATTTTGGATATTATGTGGTATAGACTCGGAGCCCTGTTATACCTCTCTGTAGGTTTCTATTTTTTTTGTAGTCTGTTTGAGCTGCAATCAGCCCAGCCGGGTTGAGCATGCACGTTCTGCCTGGCTGTCTGTGACCATGACCACAGCTCCATTGCTAAGGCCTTGGCCATCCTGTCTGGGGTCTTTCCCACCCTCGTACAGTTTGGAGCAGAGCCTGGGGCTTGCACAGGTCCCATCATTCCAGTTCGAAACTCCTGCTGTCCAGTCCTCTTTTCCCTGAGGCTACCTATCATACTGGCCCCAGGTCTCTCTCCCGAGTTTCTCTGGCCTGAAGAACAGGGTTCCTCCTTAATTTGAACCGTCTAGCCTTCCCCTCGGCTGCCAACTGAGGCCTGCCCTCAGAGCAAACCCACAAGAGAAAGAGGGAAGGGGAATTTCTTTGCCACACAGGGCTCCTTCTCCCAGCTCTTCTGGCCAGAAAGATGAGGTGCTTCTGAGGCCTGGCTTCTGCTCCCCTGTCACTACATAGCTCTGGCACGGGGGCCTACCCGCAGCAAAAAGCCACAAAAGAGAAGAGAAACAGGGAGCCTGTGCCCCTCTCTGACACGTGTGCTTTGCTGATTTTTCAGAGTCCTTGGAGGCTGCCTTCTGTATTTCTTTTTTTTAAAAAAAAGATTTTGTTTGTTTGTTTGTTTGTTTTGAGTTGGAGTCTCCCTCTGTCGCCCAGACTGGAGTGCAGTGGCCGCTCCCGGCCACCACAGCCTCGACCTTCTGGGCTCTGGTGATCCTTCTGCCTCAGCCTTCCAAGGAGCTGGAACTACAGGTGCGCGCTACCACGCCCGGCTATTTTTTTTTTTTTTAATTTATTGTAGAGATGAGGTCCCGCCAAGTGGCCCAGGTGGGTCTCGAACCCGCAGGCTCAGGTAATCCACTCACCTCGGCCTCCCAAAGCCCGAGATTACAGGCTGGGCCACTGAGCCCGGCCGCCTTCTGTATTTCATCCAGAGTGTTCCATATGATCTGTGGGAGGGACGGGAGCATGCGCTTAGCCCCTCTTGGCCAGAACCGGACGCTTCACCAAGTTCATTTTTAACTTTCATTTTCTTGCGTCTGCCTCCAGTCCTCTGTCCCGTCTCTATTTCTCACATCTTCCCAACCTCGCTGCTCCTGCCTTCCGTCAGTTTGCTGGTTTGTCCACCTCTATGAATCGACATCTACGATTACACCCACACGTAAAGTCCTGCACCTGCCTTTGTGTGTGTATTTTAGACATCCTTAGCTATTTCTACAACTGTATCTGCATGTGAGCCTTTTGGAGTCACACCCACGCCCCGTAAGGTATTTGCCGTGTAACTGCCTGACGCTGACGTCCCGACTCTGCAGCTGGGCTTTCTTGCTCCCGCTTGTGGCCGCTGCCGAGCGTTGATGCGAACATAGTGCCTGACTGTTGGTGTATCTGACGCGTATGGACGTTTCTGCTGGGGCCTGTGCAGTGAAGTCCAGTTGCTGGGCCACTGGACACGGCTGTCTTCTGCTTTAGCGGATCCCCAGGAACACAGACCTTTTTTTTTCTTTTTGAGTCGAGTCTCTCTCCGTCGCCCAGGCTGGAGTGCAGTGGCACACTGACAGCCACCCCAGCCTCGACCTGCTGGGCTCCGGCGATCCTTCCGCCTCAGCCTTCCAAGCAGCCTGAACTACAGGTGCGTGCTACCGCGTCCGGCTCAACTTTGATTTATTGTAGAGATGAGGTCTCGCCAAGTTGCCCAGTGGGTCTCGAACCCGCAGGCTCAGGCAATCCACTCACCTCGGCCTCCCAAAGTGCTGGGATGACAGGCTGAGCCACCGAGCCTGGCCAGAACACAGATCTTAAAATAAATGCTCCCGTGATTCTGGCCACACGAGGACTGTGGGTCACTGCCCCGGAGGTTCTGGTAGGTCCTTGTCCACCCTCTTCCATTTTGTCTCCAGCCGAGGCCCACAGCCATTTCCTCACCAGCCCTTGAAGCTGCCCTCAGCCTCCCCCCCAGATCTCAGACCCCCTCGTCCTCTCCAGGCCCCCTTGAGGCTGGCCTCTGCTGGGCCTCCGTCTCAGCCCAAGAAAGGCCAAGTGATCAGACGCAGGACGCTGCTGGCACGGCGTCACCCAGCCCCACGCAACGGAGCAGGGCTTCCCTGCAGCCGGGGACCCGAGTCCCTGATCCGGCCGTCTCGTTCTCCAGCCCCGATTCCGCACCCGGCCTTCATACCTACTTGTGGGCTTCACTTTTCAGCACAAGGGACTCTGTTCGGCCTTTCTACAGCTTTGCCTTCTTCCTCCTTACCTCGGGGACCCCTTGCTGCCCTCGAGGACAAGTCCCTTACCCACGTCCCGTCATTGTCCGTCCCAGTGAATTCCAACTGCTCTCCTTCCACCAGGGAACGTCCAGACAGACAGAGGGGCTTCCGGTCTTCCGCTCCAAGGGCCCCAAGATTACCTTTTGGTCCTTGTGTGTCACTCGCTGGAGCTGTCGCTTCTTCCGGACGTGCCTCTGTCCCGTCTTTCCTCGCCAGCTCCTCCGCTGCAAAGAGCATGTACAGCGTCCGGAGGAAGTCAGAATCCGTCCCGGAGCCGTTGCCATGACTGTCCCCTAACACGGAGAAATCTGGCTCCAGGGAATCAAATTCGCCAAACAGCTCGACGTCGTACACCTCAGGAACGAGTCTGAGGCGACCGGGGAGAGAGACCACAGTTAGTCCCGCCCAAGGGTGGCTGTCAACACAGCCCCAGGCTCCAGAAGGCGGCCGTGGACGGACAGGACAGGGCCAGCCCACACACAGCTCGTGGGCGAACTGCGACTCGGGGGCACTTTCTCACTTTCTGCGGGGAAATTGGCCACCCGTCCGTCCCAGTAGTTTGGGACTCCAGACCAAGGCTATCTCCACCACTCACTTTTTACCGAGTGTCTGGGGTTGCAGTTTGCAAAATCAAACTTGGAAAAATCCCTGCGGCCAGTTTTCATGTGCGTTTTGGTTTCTAAGCAGTAAATTTTTAAATGTTTTTCTTCTGCTCTAAAATTGTCGCATCTAATCTTGGATGTTATACGTTTTCTGTTTTGGAGGACTCTGCATTAGAGTCACGTTCCGTGGCTACCAATAAGCTACTGATAAGAGGCTTATTATTTTCTGGTAAAAGATGCAGACACAGAAACACGGTTCTTTCTAATACAGGCTATGTTCTATCTGCTATTGACTCCAGCCCTGTGTTGTCATCACCAAATAGTTGCATTTAAAATACATACGCCCTCTAGTTTACATCCTTTTTTGTTTGAGTTGGGTCTCACTCTACCTCCCACGTTGCAGTGCAGTGGCAACATCACAGCTCACCACAGCCTCAACCTCCTGGGCTCAAGTGACCCTTCTGCCTCCGCCTCCCAACAAACTCGAACTACAGGCACGCACCACCACGCCTGGCTAAATTTTGGATTTTTCTTGTAGAGATGAGGTCTTGCTATGTTGCCTAGGCTGGTCTCGAACACCTGGGCTCAAATGATCCTCCTACCTCGGCCTCCCATAGTGCCAGGATTACAGGTGTGAGCCACCATGCCTGGCCAACATTTGTATCTTGGAAACTAAAAGGCCGCTCCTTTCCAATTATTTCACTAAGGGTGTTTCCAGTTGTGCTGCTGCCCAAACCTGGAATCTCTCAACTCACAATACAGTGTGTTCTGTGCCAGCATTCTCAGGGGTGGGAGAGGTGACGTTGGGACACGTGGCCCTCAGGTCTCGGGTGGGATATTTGTTGATGGCACCTGGAGAGAGAGCGGGCTGGTTAGTCTACGTGTTGTCCTTCCGCATCGCAGCAGTCCTCTTTTCCTGTGGTCTGTGGTGTTGGTGAGAACAAATTAATTGTACAAGAGACTGCAAGGTAGGTCACTCGGACACCGAAAGTCCTTGTTGGCAAAGTCGGCGAGATGTGGCCATCACCGAGTGCGTCACCTCCAAGCCCCTGCGTGTCATAAACCTGAATTCAAGGGCCTCTCTGACTGCCTCTGGTCACTTGTTTCTCCCCCTATAAAAGGCAGATCTTTCTAGAAGACTCAGTAGTTGTTGAGATTATCCTGTTAGTCTTGGGGTGGGGAGACGTCACCCTCTTTTGCCTTCCACTAAATATAACTCCTAAATCCCAAGACTCCCAAGGGCTATGTGTATCCTTAGGCTTCATACGTGCCAGAAGACCTGCTGTGATTCTCTGGCAAATTTGTGGAAAACCACACCACGTGGGCCTGCCACACTCCCAGTTCCACACAGGCCGGGGCTCACAGGATGTTACAAAGTCCTGGGTGGGCTGCTACACCCGTGTCTAGAATGACCATGCACGGGCAGAGGCTGGGCAGCCCCCTCCAAGACCCACCGTGCAGACCCTGCAACCCCCATGTGGCCGAGGCAGAGCTGCTGGCCGGCCTGGGGGCTCCCCGAGAGGTCCGTGCCTGTGGCTCAGGAGGGCTCAGGCCAGAGCCAGAGCTAATCTGTCATGACCAGACGGGACAGAAGCCCTCGGGGCAGGCAGAGGGGTAGCGTTTCGGGAGGTTACTCGCGACAGCAGCCCGCCTGGTGCAGGGTGTGGTCATCGAAGCACAGGGTGGTGGGCACGAGCCTCATCCTGGGTCAGAATGTGAGGGGGCAGGCTGGAATCAGCCAGCTCCTCTGAGCTCTTGAGCCATGCACCTCGCTCCTCTGCCTTTTCACTGTGACGGGGGAATATATGCTTTCCTTTGAGGGCATAGTACTATCCTTTGAAAGAGCCTGGCACGGGGCGAACACCTGGCTTAGGGCTGGAGGCACCTTCCACCCGTGTAGGGACGTCCTGGCCAAAGCACAGGCAGTGCCGTGAGGCCCGGGCTCAGAAGATCAGGGTGTCCCCAGGGTTCCTCTCTGCCTCCTGCGCTCTCACACTCCGCCACCCCTAGCGGAGGAGCGGATGGCTTCGCTCGGTCTGTACAGACACGACCTCTATTGCAGAAGCAGTGGAAAAGGAAAGCTCGGCCGACTTACGTCTGATTAAATGGACAAAGGGCTTGACAAACTTGACGCCATAGCCCCAGTCTGGTTTGTGGGTTCGGCCAAGCTGGACCAAGTGTTGGCCCAGGGGCTGGCTGGATAATTCTTCTAACTCCTCGTCGTTGTGGGTGGGGCCAAAGGAGAGCACGAAAATGGAGAAGCCTTGGCACTTGGCCCTCAGGGACGCGTTCCTCAGGACCTCCTTGTCTAAGGGGTTGGTCTCACCCGCAGATACCACGAAGATCACTTTGCTTTTCCTCGGATTGGGGGCTCCTGCAAAGACGTTGTCCACTGTCCACTGCAGGGCATGGCCGATGAACACGTCTCCGTGCAGCTGCTGAAAGGAGTCTTGGACGTGACGCTTCATTTGGGGAAGACTGTTGTACGCAAGCAAGTCGAATTCCAGGTAGACGGGGCATTCTTCGGTGCCAGGCAGATAGCCAGCGGGGGAGTAGCTCAGGACAGCCACCCTGTCCCCCAGGACGGAGGCCAGTGGGTCCGGGGCAATGAGGAAGTAGTCAAGCACTGCGGCGACAAAGGCCTTCACTTCCTGAAACTCATCACCGCCTACTCTGTGGGAAGCATCTACGAGGAAAGCCACATCCATGTAATAGTCTTGAGGAGTGGCATCTCCAGGTCTGTAAGTAAGACCTGGGTCTTCTCTGCCATGATGTTCGTGTCCTGCAACAGAATAACTCGAGTCACTCTTTTTAGTAGAAGGATGGACTTGCACCTCCTAGCCATGGATGGCACGTGCACAGCACAGGGTGTAACTGTGCTTTCTTCCCGAACCCATAGCAGACATCATTAATCAATCACAGGACTCATTCGCAGCCACATTCTCTGGATCTGTGTCCACCTAGCGTGTGGAGAGCCATGACCGTGTCACACGTGCTGTCACAGGAGGAGAGACCGATTTGCTGCCCTATCTCAACTCCTTGTGAAAGGATTGATTTATCCTCCAGCTATTTAAGTATGTAAGTTGAGAGACACACAGTGATTTTTAGTGCACTCCACATGGTGACACAACTTGGAGTGCAAATTGGCACGAGATTTAATGGTACGGAATGACCTCAAGAGAAAGTTTAGATGTCGGAAGTTACATGTATCTTTACCCAAATCTTCAAAACATGCACCATAGAGCAACGTCACCAAAGCAGGCAAAAATCCACGCTGGCTTTGGAAACTAAGTGTGTCTTACACAGCACACTCTAAGAACTTGCTACTAAAAAAGGGCCTGCAGTTTACCAGCCCATTTTGAGATAAGGAGCTTGCACCGTGAAGTACATTGACTGTACTGGTTGGTTTAGCAGACGTGTATTCTTTTTTGGGTAGCAAGACTTTCTCAGGGAAGGAAACAGTGCCTCGATTTGCAGTCTGACGCCAGCTCCTCGTCTTGCTCAGACCAGCACTCCGAGCAGCACTGCTCTGGGCCTGAGCGATCGTAAACCTGTCCACCATCTTGGGAAGGATGTCTCCTAGGTGAGGCCACGGCAGGAGACGCCGGCTCAGAAAGATAGGAAGTGGATGGCCAGTGTTCTCTTCTTCTATGAAAGAAGAAATGAGTTTGTGAGCCTAGTCAAGCAAAAAGTGGATTTCTAACTGGCAAAATGCATTGACCTCCATTTCTGCTGGACTCATTATTAGATGCTTTTACATTTGTTATTTTTTTTAATCCTCACAACAGCAAATGAGTTGATTAGCCTGTATGAATGCTGCAAAAGCGTAATACTGAAACAAAAAGCAAAACAACACAAGACCCAGCACCACGATGATGTTCGTAACAGGGAAAATGGTCTTATAGATGATTTGGGGGTGTTAAATGGACCCTGGCTTCCTGGTGCAAACCTCCACATTATCTTTTTAAAAATCTACTGCTGGATTTGATTTGCTGAAGTTTTGTTTAGAATTTTTGCTTCTGTGTTCATAAGAATGTTGGTCAGCAGTTTCCTTTGCATTGGATGTCTTTATCTGGCTTTGGTATCGAGGTAATCTGGCCTTTAAAAATGAGTTGAGAACACTCCAGGCACACTCTTCTAGCTATTTTGAGAGAGACCATAAACCGCTGTTAGCTATAGTTGCCCCGCCGTACCACCGAGCACTGGAAGCGGCTCCTTCTATCTAAGAGGTGTATTTGTCCCCATTTATCAGTCGGTCTTCATTCTCCCTTCTTGGCCACCCTCCCAGCTTCTGTCACCCGCCAGTCTGTTCAGAGTTGTCCCAGTTGTCCAGATTTGATCATTACACATAGCGTGCTGACACCAAAATGTCACATGTGCCCCCAAAGTGGGTACACCTATTATGCACTGGTAAAAGCTAAAAATAAAGAAATGGAAAAAGTGAGTTGAGAACCATTCTCTTCTCTTTACGCTCCTGGAAAAGTTTGTGTAGAATTGGAATTATTTCTTCCTCAATGTTTCGTTGGATTCACCAGAGAAATTGTCTGTGTCTGGAGTTTTCTTTATGGGAAGGTTTGAACTGCACATTCAACCTCATTAATAGGTACAGGGCTATTTAGGTTATTTCTTCTTGAGTGAGCTTTGGTAATCTGCACATTGCAAGAAATTTGTGTATTTCACCTAAGCTGTCTAATTAATGTGCAAAACATTGTTCACAATAGTCCTTGGTTACCCTTTTAATATCTGTAGAATATGTCTCCTCCCTCATTCTTGATATTGGTAACTCAGGTCTTTTCTTTTTTCCTGGTGAGTTTGAACACAGGTTGATAGATTTTATTGATCTTCTTAAAGAAATAGCCTTCGGTTTTATCGATTTTCTCTATTGTTTTTCTCATTTCTTTTCCCTTGAGTTCCACTTGAAATGTACTGTTTTCTTTCTTCTGCTACCTTGGGTTTACCTTCTTCTTCTGGTTTCTTGAGGTGGAAGTCCTGGTCATCAATTTGAAACCCTACTTCATGACTAATATAGGCATTTAATGCTACTAATTTCCCCCTGTATACTGCTTTAGTGGAATTTCATAAATTCCAGTACATTGATTTTATTTTCATTCATTTCAAAATACTTTCCAATTTCCCTCTTGATCTATTCTGTGATCCTAAATTATTTAAAAGTGTTTTATTTAGTTTCCAAATACTTGAGGATTTTCCCAAGATTCTTCTGCTATTGATTTTTAATTCATACTTCTGATTTGGTCAGAGAGCATACTTGGCATGTGGCTTGAGTCCTTTAAAATGTTGAGCATTGCTTTATGGCCCACAGCATGGCCTACCTTGATAAATGCTTCATGTGTACTTGAGAGGAATATGTATTCTGCAGTTGGGTATAGTGTTCTACAAGTGTTAGTCAGATTAATTGACAGTGTTGTTTAAGCCTACTACATTCCTGCTGATTTTCTATCAATTATTGGGAGAAAATATGGACACTTACTGATGCTCTTTTTGTTAAGCTTTTTTTTCTATGTGTTTCATTTTGGATAATTTCTTTTGCTACATTTTCTAGTTAGTTAATTTTTCTTTTGCCAAATGTAGTCTGCAATTAATCCCATCCAGTGCACTGTTTCATCTTTGCAAATTCTATTTAAATCTCTTTTTGAATATCTGCCCTGTCTCTGTTTAATTCTTTAACACACGGGATACAGTCACATTGACTGCTCTCACATTTGTGAATTTTGATGTCGTGTCCGCTGGCTTGGTCTGAGTGATGGAGCTCTTCGTTGGGGGCTAGGTCTCTCTGTTTCCTCTCCTGCCAGACGTGGTGAAATTGCCCTTGCTGGCGTGGAACACTTCTGCATGCGTGTAGATACCCATGTGCTCCATTCTGGAAAGCAGTGAAGTTACGCAGGAAGAGTCTGATCTTCTGGCTCTTGCTGGTGCAGGGTTGAGTTTAGGGCTAATCACTTCCTGCTTCTGCGGCAAGGCCTTCCTAAATTTTCTTCCCGTGACTGCCTGGATTCTGTTTGTCCAAGCCTGCTGGTGGCCCTGTTGAGCAAATGACACTGGTTCAAAGAGTTCTTTCCCGGTCTCAGGTAACGTCTGCACAGGCCCGTGCTGTTGGCACTCTGCCGAATGGCCCAGGAGACGCCCCGCAGACCTTGGGGTTTGCTGTGTAGCCGCTCCTCTGCGGGCTCCACCCTGTGAGCTCCCAGTGCCCGGTCTCCTCATCCCCAGGGCTCCCGGGCTCCCCAAAGACGCCTCCTGCCCCGGGGCCTGAAGATGGTCTCCAGCTGGTGGCTGGGCACTGGCAGGCGCCCCTCCCTCATTTCCCCTCTCGGGTTCCTGAAGTCCAATGTCTCGGGCACTGGCGTTTTGTGCATTTTTTTCGTTTTCCTTTCGGTTGTTGGAGCTGTGAGGGAGACCCAGGTTCTTGGCCCGCCCCAGGCAGGTCTCACAGCCGGAGCTGACCCTCTTGCTGGTCTCCACGCTCGCTCCTTCGCACAGAGGACCGGGAACCGGCCATGCACACACCGATTCTCCTTGACAAAGACGTGTGCAGCCATTGAACACGGCTGTGCACCTCACGGCATGCTTGAAACTCATGGGGTTCCTGTTCTCCACCAGGAACCTGCATCAAACTCCCCTGAAAAGTTCTGCTCAGGATACCAGTCCCCGATTAAATAGCCAAATATGAAACCAGAAGGGAGACAACGATGCAGTTTTCACTCTCCCTCTCTGCTGCGAGCACTGTAGAATCATGTAGTTCAGCCCTAAAATGTCACCCCAAGGACACTCCCAGCATCCTCAGCCAGGGTGCCCCGGGACCTGTGAGGCTTAAGTTCATGGCCATTTCTGCTACCAGGATTTCTGTTTTCCAATAAGAGCATTTTAGTTTCTTTAGAAAGGCCAACCAACACACTGTGTCAAAACATAAAGAAAATATTTCTTAAATGTCCTGGTAGATGAGGCATGGTTGACTTACCTTGTGAGGGGCATGGTTTCTCATGCATGCCCATACCAGAAGCATCACTGGCTTTTTCTCCAGTTCCGTCTTTATAAGTGAGCAAAATCTCTATCCTTTCCCAAAGTGTCCAGCAGAACTATTTTCTAAAGAGGCATTTTTCATCGACAAAATCTCCAAAAATAGATTTCCTCTCTATTTACAAGATTAGAAGCTAAAGGTTGGATGATTATGCCTTGAAAACATTAAAATTTAGTCAAACACAAGGTCTGATTATTCCACTCGCAGTCAAATTCATCTCACTTAGGGAGACAAGGCCTTCTGAAACACCTCCCTTCATGAAAACCAGACAGGCGTGTGGAAAAAAGACACACACAGCCCACAACAACAAGGCTGTGTGTTTTCTGGAAAGGCCGGGCGAGCCAAGTTCCCGTCCTCACTCCGTGGGCCAAGCTCCTCAGGACGGCAGAGGGAGAGCTGGCCCCCTCGACTCCGAACGGGACGTGGACGGAGCCAGGCATTCCGCTGCGTTTCCAGGGAAGCACCCCCAGAGATCAGCCTGGTGTCGGCCAAGGACTTAAGCACAACACGCCAGGAGCTCTAGGGAGGAGCGGGGCGGAAGGAAACTTCGAGAGAATGGAGAATGGAGGGCTCGGGCCATCTGGACCAGGATCGAGCACGCCATGAGGCAGCTGCGCTGCCCCTCACGGCATTGTGGGAAATCACAAGATCTGCATGAGCTGTCCCGTGATTGTCCTTGAAATCTGTCCAGGGGCTAAACGAGCCGCGTGTTCCCACAGGCAAGCCACATGTCCAAGCGAGGCCAT